CTATCGCGGTCGAACGAAACATTATTTTGCATCTCGATAAATCGTAGAGATAACGCGATAATAACTTGCATCGCGATCTATCGAAACTGTCTGATAGATCGCGATGTAGAATTTATCGCGATAAACAGTGACGATATCGCGATATGTACCATGATCAACGCCCTTATAGCGATATATCGGCGATTTCTCGGTTTAAAAATCCTCAAGGGTGGATTCCAACTTTTTAACCTTAATATCACCTACGGTCGTAAAACAGTGAGGAAGTATATTCCGATCGAGTTATACATTCGAATTGGCATATAAAAATGTATCCCGATCGGGATGTATTTTTATCAGGGATCCTAGAAAAATTTTGATTTTTGGAACATCTTTTTCGCCCTAAGGTCTAATGATTTTCTGATTTTTTACGTCTTTTTTTCAGTTTTTTCAGATTTTGGAATTAAAATAAATGAGAGACACTTTAGTAATATGTCAACAATATTCCAGTAAAGTGTTACGCACTCCTTTCATTCCCTCTGTTTCAGTTTCCTTCTCTGAGGATAACGCGCCCCTATCACTATATTGCGTCTGATTAATGAAACCTACTTCATGAGTCAGAGTGCGCAACTGAGAAATGCGAAAAGCTTTTTTCTTTATTGAAATATTGTTGAAACATTACTAAAGCATTTAGCATTTAGACTACACAAGGACTGAAAAAGCAGTGATGGACTTCCATGTGAGTAAACTTTTTTATCCATTGTGAAAACACACTTTTATAGATATAGAGGAAAAGATCAAATAAAGGATAAATCGCAATGATAAGACACATTTCGTAACACAAAGGACTAGATTGTACAAAAGTAAGTGCATGCTCTATGTTACTTCGGTCCTTCACTGACCGTTCTAGGGTGCTTCTACCTCTTGGAGAAAACTAGAGCCTGTTTTCTCTGTATGTGAATCAAAAGTGAATATGTTAGGAGCGAAGAGTATGATAATGTAACATCCTACATAGAAGAGAAAAGCCGTACATAGGTGTTTAGATCCTGCTCCCTTTCAACTAGGAATGCAATGGTAACGGTAACCGTAACTTACCGGTTACCGTTACTGGTCCAACCGATTCTGACTGGTTACAGTTACCGGTTTCAACCCGCGACGATTGCAAAAGCTACGGTCGGAGTTGTACATGTGCATATTATTTTTTACCCCTTCTCCTTTGATACGAAATTTTTTATTAGATGTTTTTTCGAATCACTTCTTGGAGAGCAGATTATTGCCTATACACCAAGAATTTGCTTCATAAAACAGTCAACATGTAATACAATAAACTTGACAAACAAAAGAAATATTTGCTACACAATTCAAAACACAAAATAAATGTTTGTTTAACCACAGTTCTCTATTAGTCAACATAACGTTGAAGAAAAACACTTTTTAACATGGAACAATTCGTGTAACTCAAACTAACTTAAGAACTTACATCACTCACAGAACCGGTTGGACCGGTAACCGGTCAGAATCGGTAACCGTTAAACCCGTTAGACCGGTAACGATTAACCGGTTGTCAACCGTTACCGTTGTACCCCTACTTTCAACGGTAATTTGGTAAAATGTTTCATAAAAGCTTGTAGAACTTTCTCTTTATTCTTTTTCTGCCTACTCACAGGCTATATACTAAAAGTTTCAGCTCTGTACCTCCTTCGACAAATCTCTTATAATGTTTGTCATCCACTAATGACAGAGAGATTATTAGACTTGAAAGCAATAATCAAATAAACATATAGTTACATATTACAAACAAATTGATACTAAACCTAAGAAGTAGGCGTTAATGTAGTACGAAGGAGTTATTTTTCTACTATATTATCTCTACATCTTTTCTTTTGTAGATTATAATACGACAAGTTTTTATTTTTGTTAATATCATACATAGATAGACAGTCCTTCATAAAAAATGATATTAAAAGGGATAAATAATGCAATCAATGAATTAGATAAATCGAATGTAGCATTTATTAGTGAACTAATTTTAGCTGAAATGGAATTTTTTTCACCATGTGTACCGCCAACTGATCATTATAAATTAGAGTTTAATCATCGTGATTTAATAACCATACGTGGTCGTGTCTACGATAGAATGAAATATTTTAGTTATAAACAAAAAGGTAATATATAAGATGTAAGTTAGAAACTAACCTACTTTAAACATGTCGAAACAAATTTTATTAAGGGTACTCCTCCTCCCTCTTTTTTGCAAAGATTTCGGCTTTTGAGCTTAGCATAGCCTAATATAGACGAAAGTGTGAGCTACAAAATGAGATCACTCTCAGCATTCCATAACCTTTCTTCAAAAAGTTATGCATTTCTGAAGTTTTTTCATTAAAGCATAAAAAAAGTCAATTTTTTAATGTCATAAATATTTCTGTCCTTCAAAATTTTTCTTACACATAGTCTGATAGAAGAACGTGTTTTCTTCGCAATAAGACATTTTACAGCACTTTTCGAAGAGTTTCCGTGGAGATTTAAGCAGAAAACAGTCACCTGTATACAAAAAGTGTTTTTTTTCAAAAACTATTTTTTTACTACTAGGCTTCATTGAATCACATTGCAAATCCTGTTAAATTTCATCCGATCGAGTTGAAAATTTTACCAGAGGTACTCAAGGCATTATTGGAGAGATAACTTTTTGGTATTTTGTTTTAGATTTTTCTTTACCGAGTTATAGCGTTTCTAAAATTGAAAAACTTAGTTTCTGAGACATTTTTCAATATTTTCCCTGTAATTCAACCAGGAAAGGTCTTATAAAGCATTTCCCCCAAAACACCCGCAATGGTGTCTTGAACCTCTGGTAAAACTTTTAACTCGGTCGAATGAAATTTAAAGAGGAGCATAATGTGGTCCAATGAGAAACTGCTGGAGGACAGAGTTAAAAACTTGAAACAAAAACAAAAACGTGCGACAGTGAGTTTCCAATCAGTTCTGAAAATATAAAGCCTTAGTGACTTTAGTTTTTTATTTCACAGTATTTCTACACGGAAAGCCTGAAAAGAGGAGGGAGGAGTACCCTTAAGAACAAATACACTATTAGAAAATACAAAGTATTATTAAAACGTTTCATATAAATGCTATTTCACATGAAGCTATAAGTCTTGAGACACATTTTCTATAATATCGTGTTACCTGTGTATAAGCCTCTAACAAAAAAAGATGAAAAACTTGAAAAAATAAGACGTTTCTAACCTGTTTTCGTTTTCTGATCAAAGGATCTTGCTGGATTTAAAAATGTGAAAGTATCAAAGGCTGAATAGCGCGTTCGATAGAGAATTTTATTGTGCATCTAACCATATATAATTTTTTGTTTGAAACTATGATCGTTTCTGAAAAAAAAATATTTTAAAAAGGTTGACCATTTACTGACACGAGATGAAAAAAAGTCTTTTAACTTAGAAAGAAAGTGTAGTGAAGGTATTTTTCCTACCGGCTTTTGTCAAGTGGAAAACGCGCTATAAACTGGCGACAAAAGAATTAAAAGATGGTTATTGTTTGAGAAAAAATATTTCTCGTGCAAAGTTTGATTTTTCATTTTTCATACCCTTCACTAAATCTTTTGTAGTAGGCCAAAGAAATACCGTACCACTACCAAACTTTGTCCAAAAACTCCTGATTTATAAAATATAAACTTTCTTAGTGACAAAGCACAATGAAAAAAAAACAATCTGTACTTCTAGTGGGAGTGGTACGATATAACTTTGACCTGCCATAGAAGTTTTAGTGAAGAAACATAAAATTCTCTATCGAACCGGCTATTCAGTCTTTTGATACTTTCACATTTTCAAATTCGACAGAGTACTTTAACAAATGATCCGAAGAAACTCAATCAAAACAATAGCTCTTCGCTTCGCTTACGAGGAAACCTCGATTCGCCGTTTCTTCTTACGTCGATCGAGGATATCGAGCGAGTAAAAACCCTAAGAGGATTTTTTCCTGTGGCTCTTAAAGGTCCGGTTTTCTGGAAAACAAGTTTTTAATAAACTAAAAATAACCATAACCTTTCTCAACAAGCCATAATTGTAGCCCGCACATTTCTGATTAAAATGAGACATCTCTCAGCTCTACGCGACCTTTCTTTGCAAAGTTATAGAATTTACAAAAAAAGCCCTAAATATTCATTGTCAACTCAAAGCTACGGAAATAATAATAAGAAATCAATTTAGGGCTTTTCTTGTAAATTCTATAACTTTGCAAAGAAAGGTCGTGTAGAGCTGGGAGATGTCTCATTTTAATCAGAAATATGCGGGCTACAATTATGGCTTGTTGAGAAAGATTTTGGTTATTTTTAGAGTTTATGAAAAACTGGTTTTCCAGAAAACCGAGTCTTCAAGGGCCACAGAGAAAATACCTTTTAGAGTTTTTACTAGCTCGATAACCTCTATCGATCGACGTAAGAACGAACGAAATCGCAAGGCATCACTTGGATAGGGTTCGTCGTTAGCGAAAAAGCGGAATAAAAAAATCTTTTTATACCAGCTTTCATCACGCTGTAGACTAACTGAGAAAAACCGACGATTTAGAAAAATCGGTTCAAAACTAAAAATTTCTAGCACATAGCTTGTTCTTGCACATAAATGCCCACTAAACTTCTAATTTTAAATTCTTTTAATGTGTTTTTCGATCTTTTATTTGGTTTGTTTTATCAGGCGTCAAGGAATGTGTATTACCGGAACCGTCGGACATACAAGAAGATGATATTGAAAGTTTTCATCCAATAAAACCGACTGTTGGAAAGATTTATTTAGCTTGTGTTTATAATGATGTATCTCATGTTGATAAACTTATTGAATTAGAAAAAAGTGAAATTGATCAAGTAGTTAAAAAAGCGAATGAAAAACGACGATCATCGTTATGCTAAATGTATGAAAACTAGACTCACAGAATATGTAACTAAATGTTGTTTTAAACGTCCTTTAATAATTAAAATTGACTTGTAATAATGTAATTGAATAATATAATATTTATTAAACGTAATAAAATATCAGAGTTTTGTAGGCGCCGGTTCTTTTTGTGAAACAATGGTGTATACCCAAGCAGACAAACTTTTTCGAAAACACGTTTAAGCGCACAAAAAAAGACGAAAAATCTAGAAAAAGTGGTCGTTTTTCGCCCTATTTTTATTTGGCAAAATAAAGCGATGGGCAAGCCGTCCAAATTATGATCCGCCTATTTGGACTATTCTCTCTCTGTTCTCAATTCAAAAAGTGAGAAAAATGGGAAAAAATTTGAGATCAGCAGGCAAAGCTGAATTGAAGAAGGAATTCAGGAGAAAATCAGTTTTCAAGCCTGAAATATGAAATCTGTCAGTTATTTATCTCACCTACTTCCTTCGGTTCAGTTTTCCCTCCTAATTTCGAATCTTTACTTGCTTTTAGGATCTGAATATATTTTAATTTCGAAAACCGTGAAATACACGTCAAAAGTGTCATACTCAGAGATGGAAGCGTAAAAGTCGAAGTTTGCTTTATTCAAGGTTGTGTCATCATAGACTGATAGAGTTTTGCAAGGGCTTTCTGACTTTGTAAAAAAAATCGGATGCTTTCTTTTTCCTCTTCTAAAATTGCCGTATCTTATAGAACAGCGGCGAAGGAAAAATTAGGTTAACTTAGCAAGACAAGATTGTTACTGGTGTTGTGTTGTTATTGTTGCTGTTGTTGTTGTTGTACTATGCACTAAAACATGGTGCACAATATTCAAACTTATCATGAAGTCCAAGATCATATATAGAGCAGTTTGGCTAGGTAACGATAAGCCTGTATACGATGAATTTGAGAAAAATAAAAAGTTGATCTGACTTTTTTTGCAACTTTAGAGCCCGACTAGTTACTTTTTTAGCTCACTCCCGGGTAACTTTAGATCAGGAATCGTTTCAGACCATCCATCCATAAGTCCGTAGCTACAATCGTTATTTAGATCGCGAAAGTGCAAAACCGACAAAAGCATCACATTGTTACGAAAAAAACCAAAAAGTGAATATTTTCGAAAGATACTTTTTCACCAATCTATAGCCCAATTTCTTGTCTACAAAATGACAGTTTCGATCTGTTTCAAAAGACTTTACTTTTAGGCACATTATCAAGAGTGTACATTATAATGCGTCATGTGGAAGATGACAAAAAGTTTTCCTCCTTCAGCGCCTTATGCTATGTATCCTTTTCTAAGGCATTTGTTAATACGACCCATTTCAGGGCGTATCCCACGTCACGCCGTGCATGATATTTACAAAAGTACCCATGTGCGCGGCGCAGTATCGCGGTATTTCAAATGTGCCCGCTTACACGACACAATCTGAACGCGGTACATTTTTACTGTGCGTATATGAGGAAGTTCTGACATTGGATCGAACTTTCAAAATCCATTTTCAGAAAGAGCGAGCTCAACTACTTTGGTCTCCCAAAGTCAGTAACTGAATTTGAAGTGATCATCCACCTTTGTAAGATAAAGCACACATCTAGCAGCATTGTTTTGACTCTCTTCTGATAGTCCTTAGTCTTTTATCTCTAAAAAAACCTGTTTTACTGCATAATGAAAGTTTATAGTGTCTTGCAATGCGTCGAATATAATGCTGATGAGTCAAAAAGTGGGCTGAAAAACAACATTGTTTTTTGCCATTAAAAGATTCTGAGGAATGGTGAACGCACTATATCGGACTCAGCGGCTTAACCACGTAACGCGACACTTCGCTGATTGAGTTTTACAAAAATCTTTTTCATCGGTGAACCGACATCGGACCATCATTACATGCAGTTTTTCGAGCTGATTACGAATGTGGCCGTTTCAAAAAATAAAAATAAAAATTTGAATGCAAAAATGTGGTTTTAAAATTTTTAAAAACTTTCATTTTAAATACTCACCTAGCCAGATTCTTGAAAAAACTGAAAAATACATCATTAGATAAGAAATTAAATTCTCTACAAAATGACATATTTTTTCCGAAGTTCTGACAACAAGAACAGATTCTATAAGTTTTTTAAATTTTAAAGTGTAGAGTCAAATTTAAAAGTTTAGTAAGGCGCCGGTAATTCAAAACTTAAGCAAAATTTATTTTTGCGATGTTTATATATGGTTGGATAGAGCTCGTCGCTCGAACAAGAGTATGTATTTTAACATAACCTTTGGAATCAAAATTTTAATGTCGAAAATTTTAAAAAACGGCTAATTTTTTAAAAGCGAACGTAAAACTCGAACACAATGTGTTTGGGAACCTTGAAATCTTTTATTCTTGTTCTGCGTAAAAAACTGAATCTGAAAAAAAAGTATTTCGATTCTGTTCAAGTATGATATGACCTAAAACATTTTAGTTTTCCGCTAATAGCCAAAATTCTGTTCATGTTGGCGCAAAAAGCTTCAAATCCCTCTGGATACGGGATGAAGCCAATATTTTTATATCATTCTACTCGCCATAATAGCACGAAAAAAGTTAAGTATCGATTTTGGAAAATATTGTTCCGCTGTTGAGAAAATAAATACTTCTGAAACAGGTAGCAGAAAAGTTGCAACTACTGACCTGATTGATGTGTGTCTCGGGATTTTTTGAACAGCTTTCATTTTTTTGAAGTTTTTATCCGAGATTTTTGCGAAAAAATGAAAGTTGTTCAAAAATCCCGAGACACACATCAATCAGGTCAGTTTTTGCTGCTGAATCTAAGTATGACATTGGTTTTGCAAAAAACTGGAAGTTTGACGGTGAAAACTGCAAAATAGAAGCGAATTTCCTTGTTTCCTACTACCTGTTTCAAACGTTTTTTGGTGGAAAACTGCCTTACCGCTCCCTAGGTGTGTTACGAATCCGAATGATCGACGCTCGAAGTTCGGGTTCGAGCAAAGTTCGACGTTCCAGTTCGTCTTTAAAAAGTTCGGGTTCGGGTTCGAGTTCGACAACAAATATCTAACAAAGAAAAGTAGACAATTATTGTATACGCTCCTAAACACGAGTTTTGCACATATTAACATTTTCCTTTCACTTTCAAAAACGGTTTTGCTACAAACAAAAGCATGAATAACATAGATGTTCTGATATTTATGTGTTAAGAATACGTATACGCAAAAGATGTGTCATAGTTGTTAAAAAAGACAGTACATTTGTGTTTAAAAGGATGAGAAAAAATTCTTACGTTGGACTATATATGGGTGGGATCAAGGTATTTCAGCCCCGTCCCGATTCCGGAAACTTTTTATGGTGCCGGAGAAAATACTTTAGTAATAAAGTTTGCATGACGTAGATGTGAAGTTCAAATGCTTAGGAAAGAATTGTAAGACCTCCTGACGTTTTCCACGAATGTTAGTTCTAGTGTTGGGCCCGGTTCGGTCCAGGAAATATAAGTTGCAGTTCCAGTCCAGCTAAAAGACTTTTTTGATCTCGAACTATGTCAGTTTAAAGAGGACACCTGGCTATATAATGCTTTAAGTTCTTTCGATGAACTGGTAAGTCTTTTCGGAATTACTAATTAATTAAGTTTAAATTTTAATTAGAATTTGGGTCGCTAGTTCGCAGTGTGCAAGGTTTGTAACTCGTTAAAAATAATTGTAGAAATGTCATTCTCGCATGGTTTGATAGCCAATGGTCTGTTGTTATGGCAGGATGCAAAAAGTTTTCTTAAGCTAATTTATTATTAATCATGCTAATAAATACTGATTAATTGATTTCAATTTGATTGGAAGGACATAATGAATTCAATCAAATTAAATACTCGTCCGTATTAAAGATCTTTCTTCACATTTTTTTCGGTGTCGACTGGCACCCTCATCAGACAATAGGATGCATACACTCACACTCTCTTATATATGCACGCACACACTCCTTCTCGACAGTTTTTCTTTTTCGTTCGCACATATTGTTTCTCGTTCTTTCGCTTATGCTCTATGATAGCGGGACGGCAAGACGGTGATACTAGAGGAGAGAGATCATTAATCTTCTTCTTCTGCCGTCCCGCTATCATAGAGCATAAGCGAAAGAACGAGAAACAATATGTACGAACGAAA